GTCTTAATAATCGATATATTATGTAGTATGCATGTCGATCGATGTGGTCTCTCTGTGTCGACCTCGTGATCGAGTCTGAAAAAAAAACGATTCTTCCAATTCTCTCCAAAATGCTCCAAAAACATCACTTTCTTCCAAAATACTCCTAAACTCATAAATATGCTTAAAAGCTTCCATAATATAGTAAATAGTAGTAAAAACACTAATATACCATTACCAAAAACAGGTCAAAATCATTGTATATCATTATACTTCGTTATACCATGTTACAGAGTTTTGTCAGTAATCAGCCAGTCTAATCTAACCAAGTTTGCCCAAGTTTCAGAGTTCTAGATGTTTCTCTCAAAACCACATAGTAATCATCTTTCTTTGATTCAATCGTCCTTTCATTCCCGACATTCAATCATACAACTGTTGATTATCCATTTGAGTAATAGACAGACCATCCACACTTTCCGATCCTCATACACAAATGAATAAGAAATTTTCCATTACTACGAATCGAGTCTTCAATTCAAAACCAAATTGTAATCAGCTTTTATTCCCGACAATGACATGCAATTATACAGTTGTTACTTATCGAATTCCCTAATAAACATACCATCCAAACTTTCCGATCCTCAACTAGTTCATACACAAATATTAAATCTTCTATCCAAACCGGAATCCCTGTGAATACATCGAATAAATCGTTTATGGTGGATTCTAAAACGATTTGAGATATATACCCTGTAAATGATTCAACATCCAAGCAAAGAAATCGAGTTAGCAATTCGATGATAAAGAGGAAGAATACAGGCCCACGAGGAGGACAAGAGGGGATGGGAATTCGGAGTGGATCAAGGTAAGGGGTGGAAAGAGGGGAGAGGGGTTGACTCGAGGAAGAATCTCGGGAGGGGGGAGAGAGAAGGAGAAGAAATTAATAATTCATTAAGTTAAGTTTAAATCGGTCAGGGGTATTTTCGACATTAACCACACTCCTAGAGGGTATCAAAATAGACAAGAGTAAACCAGAATTTGTAAGGGTATGCCAGAATACTTTTTGCCTCATTAAAAGCATATGAGATTATATCCCAACTAAACTATTAACATTAATCATTCATCATTCACTTTAAACATTTACGGGATGCACTTTTCAGATATCTAAACTAACGTCACCCTAAAGCACAATTTCTCGATTATGTTTTCTAAGTTTAATCCAGTGTCCAAGCTACGAACCATAAAATGGCAAATCCACGATCTTAAATCCAGAATGAAAAAAAAAATCCATAATGGAAAAGCGAAATGCATAATCAGGAATTATTCTACCATTGTAAAATTATCTATAGATCACATGCATCTTCCATTCAATAAAGATTTCTAAGCTTTCAAACTAGAACTTATGGGGTTGATTAACAAATTTTTCAGAAGTGTTGCAAAGTTTTTCTACAGAAAAGTTCATGCTTTGTAAAGTTTTTTTAATGCTACCGATTTTTTTTTCTACTTTTTTCTTCTGGTAAAAGAGGGCAAGATAATAACCACATTAATAAGATGTAACAATCCGTTCCGTGATATCTATGTTGGCTCTGAAGAACACTAATCCTAACTTTTCATCTGTGAATCTTCACTGACTTCTCATATAGGTTATTGATGCGATACCTGGAACCCAATATCTCATTTTTTAACAATTCTTTCACATGACAAGTTGTCACCAGTTAATCTACAGAATTTATTAATTACATATGAGTGATTAGGATCAGTGTTCTACAGAACTAACCTGGGTCTCATGAAACGGGTTGTTACACAAGATTAATTAGCAACTAAGCTATAATTTCATTTATCTCTCTCTCATACCCCTATGATCTTTCTTGTATGAAAAAACTTGATCAAGTTTGATTTGTCTTTGAAAACCAATAAACTGATTTTTTTTTTCTTTATATATGTGTGATTTAGAAGTTGAGAAGACGGGTCCACCACTTTGTTCTCGGGAAAGACTCTTCAAGCCCATATCAGTCACATTATTAGTTAGAGATTAAAAATACTAATCCTGCCTTCAATCAGCTACTTTTGTCCAGAAGAACAGAAAGTAAAAACACACCATTCAACTAAAGACAGAAGCTTTGTGATAAAGTCGGTAACTTTTACTAAATTTCTTATGATTTTCTTTTGTGGGTTTTCCATAAGAAATGATTTTTGGAATTAGTTTTTCCTTTGAATTTATTTATAAGAACTTCAATGATTTTCCTCTGGAGAATTCCAATGTGCATACACGTGAAATTCAGGGCACTACTTTGATTGATACTTTCTTTTAAGTCAACTCTCCATTGAAAGCGAAGCTGCGTATATATAATATTTGTAGCAAGTTTATGATTTCATCCATTTGAAAAAAGAATAGTTGACAAAACACCAGTTTCTCTTTTCTTGTTCTTGGATAGGTTCTTGATGATGTTTCTGCATTTTTTTTTTCAGGTTCGGCTTAAGCATTTCAAAGTAGAAGAGCATTAATTCTCTTGACTTTTCTCTAGCATCTGTTCATCTTCAAGATGCTAAGCAGTCTTTGAAAACTTGAAGGTTTGGTAGGATCTGTTGGATGCTATAAAAAAAAAAAAAAAGAGAATCTTAAGATATGGAAGATGATGGTGGCAGTGATGGAGGGGAAGGAAATGGTGGGTTTTCACCTAATTCTAGCTTTGGTGAATTCCCTGAGATGGCCATGGATTTGGATTTCATGGACGAGCTCTTGTTTGATGGCTGTTGGCTAGAGACAACAGATACTAACGCTATGAGTGACAATACTCCATCTCAAGAAAACTTCTCTAATGAAGAAATTACAGAGAGAACGGTGAATCAAGAACCTCTGAACCAGGTTGCATTACCAAGTTCTGAGCAAGCAGAAAAGTTTCTACAAGAGGAAGCTGAGGTGGGAAGAAGTTGGTGGATTGCCCCAAGTGGAAGTGAAGGCCCTTCTTCGTCTGTCAAGGAGAGACTATTAAGAGCTATAAGCGGTCTCGATGAGGCGGTGCCGGATAAGGACTTCCTTGTGCAGATATGGGTGCCATTTCAGCAGGAAGGAAAGAACTTTCTAACCACTTTGGCTCAGCCACATTTATTCAACCAACAATACTCCAGCCTTGCAAAATACAGACATGTTTCAGAGACTTATAATTTCCCAGCTGATGAAGGCTCGACTGAAGTAGGTCTCCCCGGTCGTGTTTTCCTGCAGAAATTGCCCGAGTGGACTCCTGATGTACGTTTCTTTAGAAGTGAAGAGTATCCGCGAATCAAAGAAGCACAAAAGTGTGATGTTCGTGGATCGCTTGCTGTTCCTGTGTTCGAAAGAGGTAGTGGGACTTGTTTGGGTGTTGTTGAGATCATCACAACAACTCAGAAGATGAATTACCGGCCAGAACTTGAGAATATCTGTAAAGCTCTTGAGGTGTTTCTCTCTTTCTCTTGGTTCACCTCAACATCAGAAAAAAAAAATACTCTATAGATCCGCAAGTCTTACCACACATGTTTAGACCAATACCACCGTTAACAGCTTAGCTTAAGTATCTATTTTAGTGACAAGAGTGAGAAGTTTTGTTTGTGTATCACAATAGCTTAAAGATGTTTCTGTTTTTGCAGGCTGTTGATCTAAGGAGTTCAAGTAACTTGAAAACTCCAAGCACTGAGGTGCATTAAATTTACTCTTAATTCATTCACAGGTCCTGGAAAACACTGATAGGCATTGCTAAGGTCATACCCCATGTTTCAGTTTCTGCAGGTCTATAGTGATTTCTACTGCGCTGCATTACCTGAGATATCAGATTTCTTGGCCTCAGTCTGCAGATCATATGATTTGCCTCTAGCTTTGTCATGGGCCCCGTGTAATCGGCAGGGGAAAGGTGGATCCCGACATTCTGATGAGAACTTTTCTCAGTGCGTTTCGACAATAGATTCTGCTTGCTTTGTCCTGGATGAAGAGAGCAAATGTTTTCTGGAGGCATGTTCTGAATATCATCTCCTCCAAGGGGAAGGCATGGTTGGGAAAGCATTCGAGGAAACCAAACTGTTTTTCGTGCCTGAAGTCACCATATTTAGCAAGACCAACTACGCTCTTGCGCACCACGCTAAAATATCTGGACTACACGCTGCTTTAGCAGTCCCGTTAAAGGGCAAAAGTAATGGTCTGGTCGAGTTTGTGTTGGAGTTCTTCTTTCCAAAAACCTGCATTGACACTGAAGCAAAACAGGAGATGCTCAAGTCACTGTCTAGGACTCTGCACCAGGATTTCAGGAGTTCAAATCTTGTCATTGACAAAGATTTAGAGTTAGAAGTCGTATTGCCTGATAGAGAGGGCATGGTTTGCTCAAAGAACCCACTAACTGGAGCAGAAACCGAAGAGTCTTTGCGAGAAGTTCATATGCAAGAGTCCTCTACGATCTCCCAAATGATAAAGGCTAACGAGAAGGGTAAAGATGTGTCACTTTCGTTGGAATACCAGAATGAAGATCCAAAAGATGCATCTAAGCTCTCATCTGGCTGGGATAACAGTCAGCTTGATCCAGTCCTCAGCAATGTTCCTTCAGAAGCTGAGCAGCTTCAACATGCATCAACTTCAGGAGGACTCAAAGTTGACGCTGGTCCAAGTACCGAACCAGCTTTGACTGGTGGTGGAAATATGTTAGGGAGTAGAAGACCAGGGGAAAAGAGAAGATCAAAAACAGAAAAGGTCATTGGCTTGGAGGTTCTTCAACAATACTTTGCTGGAAGCCTCAAGGATGCAGCCAAGAGCATTGGTGGTAAGAAATTGATGTACACTACTAGAAACATAACTTCTCACTCTTTATAAATTTTGATTCTTCTTCGTCTTTTGTGAAAAACATAACCAATACGTTCCTTAGTCCAAACAGTGATATGACAGTGTTTTGTTCTTATGTTGCAGTTTGTCCAACTACCTTGAAAAGGATATGCAGGCACCACGGAATAATGAGATGGCCCTCCCGGAAAATCAAGAAGGTTGGGCATTCGTTAAAGAAACTGCAAGTCGTTATGGACTCAGTTCAAGGTGCACAGGGCTCTATTCCACTCGATTCATTCTATACAAGTTTCCCAGCGTTGAGCTCCCCAAATATGTCCAGTAATGGTCCTTCCTTGAAAAGTAAGGAACAGTTACAGCAGTTGAATGCTCCAACGTCAGAGGACAAACCAGCACCAAGGTCACCATCATCTTCTTGCTCTGGTTCAAGCACCAATAGTGGAAACACACTGCAGGTTACTGAGGATGCTGATGCGGTCTTGAAGAATGCTCACAGCGAGATGGCACTGCATAATGGGACTCAGGAGGAAACAACATGTCTCGCCAGAAGCCAGAGCCAAAAAATATTCAAGGAGCCTCCTCTTCTTGAAAATTTACCAGGCAGTAGTAAAAATAAGAGGTTTAGAGCTGGAGGGGCCATTAAAGTGAAAGCGACATTTGGTGAGGCCAGAATACGGTTTACCTTACCTCCTAGCTGGGGCTACAGAGAGCTAGAGCAAGAGATTGCTAGGCGTTTCAGCATAGACGATGTTTCCTGGTTTGATCTAAAGTACTTGGATGATGATAAGGAGTTGGTTCTTCTGACATGTGAAGGGGATCTCGAGGAATGTATTGACATACATAGATCATCACAGAGCCAAACAATTAAAATAAGTCTGCACGACGCTTTTCAAGTCAAACTGGGAAGTTCTTTTGGTAGCACTGGTGCATCCTGAACCAGAAAATTCTTCTGAATTAGAGATCGCACTTACCATTTTAGCCTGTCGGGTGTAAACATACCTTGAAGACCATTTTGCAAGTGGCAATAGTAATTGGTCTTCTGCATAGCCTGGACAGATTTGTTGTATATAGGCAAGCATTTTTTATCTTTGTTTCTAAGCTCTACAGAATTGAATTACAGTGTTATGTGTGTGTTCACTTGTCTACTTCTGGATAGTGTCTATTCAGGAACGTATGTATATCCATGATTTCGTTGATCAAGGGGAATTTCAGTTGTGCTACAAATTTGATATTATTTATCAAATTTATTCTTAGAAATAATGATTTTATAAATAGTTTTAGTTTATGATGAACAAAAACTAAACTAATTCTCCTAAATCATTTATAAATTATTATAAAACATTTATAGAAGTTAATAAACCCAAATTCAGCCTTTAAATACTAAACCTAAGCCAAAGTTTTAAAGTATTTTTTATTGAGTATTTTAGAAAACCTTAAACACTAAACCATAATTCATTCATGTCATTTTTTTGCGGGGGACAAAATTCATCTCAATCTTCTTTTCTTTTTCACAGATTTCCTGTTTGACATTTTCCTTTTTTTTCTCAGTTTCCATTTTTTCTTTGTATTAGTTTCCTTTTTCAGTCTAGTTGACAAAAAACAAGTTTCCTTTTTCAGTCTAGGTTATAGTCAACGCATCATAAGCTATTTCTTAAATATGTAACCGATCAAACAAAACTCATGTTGCATACACAAACTTGTTAACCGAATAGTTCAAAGAAAACCCATAAACCTTTCTTCGCTTGCTTCATTCTCTGTTTGATCATTCGTGTAGTTATGGCCACATCTTATTCCAGTCGTGCGGCCACAATGGTTACTCGTTTCTCTTCTATAATTCTAAAGTCGAAGAAACTCATCCAAGAGAGTGACAAGAAGGGTAGTGATGCTGTGATGGGGATGATAAAGGAAGAGAAACAACGTGATGAAGAAAAGGCTATGATCGAAGAGAGAGCCCTCAGGCAGAGACTCCGGCAGCAAAACAGGCTCGACTTGGAGAAGGTGGAAGAGGAAGCTAGGTCCCAAATCCATGACGATCACTTGGCAACGATGGAAATCGGGAAGCTGTGTGGTGGCTCCCATATGGCAAAGAACCGGTTCTGGGTTAAGAAGTTGGGCTTCGTCTTAAGAACTAATGATGATTACGACAATGATTCTCGTCATGATGATGATATTGAGGAAGGAGAGATAGTTTAGTATACTCCAATTTGAAATAGAGTCTATTGTTTCTCTCTGCAAAGCTATCTAGGTCTGGAAGAAGAAGATTTATGTAAATAACCAATTTAATTTTTTTTTTAGTTAATTAGTAGGCATGTTCATGTTAAGATGATGAGTTGATGCAATGTTTAAGATGTTCTGTCTTTTGTGCTGAGGAATTTCAAACTATTTTCCTGCTATATTTGTGTTATGTGGCAGTTTAATCTTTGGACATCTTTTCAAATCGAAACCAAGACTAATCTTGGATATCTTGTTGCTATATATTTGTTTCCTCTATTGTAATTCATGTTGTGGTATAGGCAACCAATATTTTTGTTGCGTTTAAGGTATCCACATTTTTCTCCATCATCTTCTCTTTTTTTCTGGCTTCAACCTTGACCATAAAGGTTCACAGTATTACTTAAATATAAAGGACATCAGAACAGTCTACTTCACCTTTATTGGTATTCAAAACTTTGTGAGGGATGTAAGACTTAGTGTCTCCTTAATAGGTTTTACAAGTGTTTACTGTTAAAAGCTTTACTGTTTTTCTTGTTTTGGTACCAAATCTTTCTCAAAAGTTGAATTATTTTGAATATAATATATAGATAAACACAAAAAGCCATGCTTCAAGTGGAGCAATGTTCTTATTTCAATTACGAACTTTACTTTAAATTCACACTCAGAACACACAAAACCATTACACAACTAGAGAAGGCATACAAAGAACAGAGCACACTGAATCAACACCACCATGAAACTGAAGCTTGGGCTGAACGTTGAAGCATAGTTACCAGATGGTCTAGAACCACCAGAACCTGGTCATCAGAATGTAATCAGATTATTAACTCAATAATCGCCAATTCACAATTAAAAACTGTGCAAGAACCTTAATCAAACAAACCTGAACAGGGATCTGGAGAAAGGGTTGTGAAGATTGTCTGGTTTGAGTAACCAGCATAGGTGCAAGAACGAGGTCCACAGGAGGTACTAGTCGTGTTACCTAGAAACAAATTCTCTGCTCCTTGACATTGTGAAGGTGGGCAAGTTGGCCAGGTCGTAGGCTTAAGCTGAGCAGCTTCACAGCTTAGACTGATTACAAACACACAAAACCAAAAACCATCAGAAACCAATCTTGTCATATTGGAACAAAGAATATCAATCACTTACGTCCAATTGTTTGACGCCTCACAAGAGCACCTGATGCAATCGTTTGCAGTGATGGAGTATGATCCATTAGGCAAAAGCATAGAAGAAGCATCCAACGAGTTGTTCCTTACAGAAGAGCTACAGGCTGCAAGTTGACAATTTTCTTACAAAAGTCAGAAACCCAATAATCAATCAGCACTAAAACATCGAACCCAACTAATTTTGTCCACTGAACACAGCTAAAGTCAAAAGACTTTTTCAAATCCAAAGTTCAAACCCAAGTAGATTTGTCCATTTGGATTAGTCAAATGAGAGTGCCAAAGCCACAGACTTTTCAAATTCTAAAGTCAAAAAACTTCAGTTTTGTTTTCTTGTACCTCTGAGAGGAACGTCAAGAGGGAATTCAGCTAGGAGCTGAGCATCGCCGGAGATCCCATTGAGCTGAGCCAACGTCGTGTTGTCAGTTCCGAACTGAGCAGCGATCACACCGAGGGAGCTTTCGGGTTTGACCACGTGTGCATAGTGGACAACAACTTGACCGTTCACTTTATCGCAGCTACAAGGCAAAGGGATCCAAAGCCTTTGACCGATATCGATGTCGTTTGCGTCGGGAATCTTGTTCATCTCACTGATCCTCTGGAAACGAACCAACCCTCCGAAAATCTCAGACGCGATGAAGAAGAGCGTGTCCCCTTGCTTGACGGTGTAAACCGGAACACCGGTCGAGACACCGGTTCCGTTTGAGCACGTGCAAGGGATCGGGATGCGTACGACTTGGTTCGGGTTCACGCGCTGAGCGCCTGTGGTGGAGAGTGGGAGGTTGTTGGCTTCCAGGATCGAACGGAGTTTCTCCACGGCGAAGAGGGTTTGGATATTGCCATACGTTGTGGCGTTCTTTGGTGAGTAGCCGACAAGAGAGCGACACGTGGTGTTTGAGTCGCGGGGTTTGCCGCATTTAAAGTTTCCGGTCATTTGGGCGGACAGGGAGAGGAAGAAGGAGGTGGCGACAAGAAGAAAGGGTAGGGTAAAACGGGAAGTTTCCATTTTTGTTTGGTAGTTGCCGGAGAGTTCTCAGTTAACTTAAATCGATGTCATCTGGATTTGTGGTTAAAAGGAGGAGGAAGAGAGTTGTCCGGAGGAGACTTTTGGAGTTGACTGTTGACTTTGAGAGAAGACAAATGAGAACATACGACCAAACGGACTTTTGTGTTTACATTGGCCGCGCTTTGTTCCCTAATAAAGAGTTTACTAGATTTTGATCCCCTTTTAAACGCGGATATTTTTTTTGTTGACAGTAAAAGTAAATATTAAATGAATTTATAACTATTATATAGATCTCAGCCTAATTGAATGTTTTCATTGTATTTCATATCTCTGTCAGACTTGTGGTCGTACCGATAGATCTATTTCTCGTATATAGTAAGGGTAATATATAATAAAACAAATATAGCAAAAATACCTTTAAAAGAATATTAAAGACCGTTAGTAATCCACCAAAAATAATATTTTTAATATATCAATATATATTTGATTTGCATAAGAATAATTTTTTTGTAGGTAAAATTTGATCAAGCATTTGCGTTATTTGTAATTTTTGCAATATATATTACATCTAGATTTTTGATATGTGCTTTGAAAAGCGCGGTTTTTTTTTAATTATAAACAAATTTTTGGGTTGTTATATAATATTAGTTTACAAAGTCATATTATATAGAAATAAAAGATATTTTAAAAAAATATATATAAATTATGAATTAGTGTATTTGAGATTTTGTATGTATGTTTTTATTTAACTCTCTCTCTTAGAGTTTTGGGCCTCAACATTTTACTCGCACTCAAAAAATTGAATCGAAACCGACTTGAAAATACATGTTCAGTTCGGTTGGGTCCATGAAAAAAACATATTGGATATTTTTCTGGATCTGCGGATCTCTATTCGAGTTTAAGTTCTATTTGAGGCCCAATCGGACATCTAAAATACACACAAAAAATTCGTATATTAGTTATATTTCGTTATTTCAAATATGTTTTCGGTATTACATATATCTTTTAAGTGTTGCATTCAGATTTTTGGTAATAATTTTTGGTATCGTATAAAATTTTAATTCTTAGAAATATGTTTTTGGTATCTAAATAAAATTTTGGTAGTTTTTGTTTCTCTTGGTTAGATTTCAGATAAAATTTGGCTTTTCAGATACTTCAAAAAAATTTGGGTCTTAAATTACTAAATTGATTTGAACTATATAAATTATATGTATTCTGAAATCAATTACATGTATTTTACAGCTATTTGAATTTGGATCTGAACCTAGTCGGACCCGAAAAGAACCGACGCAAGTCAAAAAAATTTAAATGACTAATTAATAATAATAACATACAAATAAATATGAGTTAGAGGTTATCTTTGATATTGAAAATTTTATATTAAAAATTAAAATGTTCATATCGAAATCATCGTATAGTTATCGTTTTTATTAACAAAATAAATAAAAATACATCAAGATATTAAATTATTAGTAAAATACATAATATAATTATTTTATTATAAGTTATTTGTCACTAAAAGTGACCTGCTGATTTTTTATTAGGAGGTGATACATGTTTTTCATTTTTAGTAGAATTCAAACAATCCCGCAAAAACTGCAACCATAAGATATTAAATATAACTATTTATATGAATAGGTTTCATGTTGATTTTCTTAAATTGCAGTCAGATATTTTCTTATGATTTTAAATCATAAAAATTCTGAAATTTGGAATATTATATGGGTGAAAAATTCATTAATACCTAAAATATTATGATTAGCACATATTTTTCAAAAGAGAAAAAAGATTGACACCATTTTATTCATAGATGTATATATGTAAACTGTTATACGATTTATCTCTATGTAATTTTGGTTTTGTTTTGTATTAACCGCTCGTTATGATTAGAATAGGACACTATATAATTCACGTGAATTAGTAGTATCAAAACATATTTATGTAGTTGTAGTGGATTGTAACTATAATATTCTGAAAGATATTAATGATATTTCTTAACAAAAAGAAAGATATTAATGATATTCCAAATAAGAGGCGTGCATATAGGATTTAACATTAGGAGATGTTTACATAGATGATCTTAGCTAAATGAATGAAAGGGTCCAACAACTTGATTTAAGTAGATTTTTTAAATCTCCTTCTCTTTTAATAGTATTGATTAATAACGCTGTGACTTATCGACAGTTTCATAATATAAGATAATTACGGAATGCGAAAAAAATAGTTAAGCTGTGGAAAAAATTAATTAAGCTGTGGAAAAGTTTAAAATTTGCGAAATGGTGGAATACATATTAAAGTATTTAAAATATTTTCTATGGTATTTATTTTACTATAAGAAAAATACGTATAACTAAACTAATTATAACTACATGTGAAAAAAACTAAGATCTATTAAAAATACTTTTTATTTGTATTATAAATATATAATTATTTTCAATATGTTTTTAATAATAGATTACCATCTTATAATATTTTAAACTAAATTATAGTTTAATTTTATTTACAACATAACTATTTATTACTATAAATATTATTATTATTTATTTAAAAATTTAAATGACATTATCATATAACTTAAGAGAAGGAAAGTATTGGTTTTGAAAAAAAAATGATGAACTATTGATTTTGTAAACAATCTACTAAAGCTAATTTTCCATTTAATAGTTTTTTTTTTGTATTTTTCCGCTAAAACGAAAATTTGCGTTTTTAAGTTTTTTTTATTTCATCCCACAACTTTTTTTTTATCGCCATTAGGCCATTCCGCAAGATTAGCAATCATAGCCAATGTCATGATTTTTGCTCAAAAAAAGAAGAAGATAATGTCATGGTTTATTTTTTTCTGGTTAATGTCATGATAAGACTATAGGACTAAAAGTCTCGTAAGCACCTCAATGAAAACATTCGAATATGATATATATAATTAGTGATTAAAGTAATGATGTTTATATTCATTGGAATAAATTATGGTAACTAATAGTTGGCCATGAGGAGGAAGATGGACTCCATAACAACTATTAAAGAAAAAAAAACTAATTAATTTATTAGGAAGGTAAGAGCTATTTGGCCAACCGATTCTCATAAAAGGTGGAGTAGGGTTCGGACTGATCCGAATATCCAAAAGTTGTAGGATATGATTCTAGGGGTGATAATATGACTTAAATTTATAATGATTATCAAAATTTTAAAGTCTACTGTTTCTTATTTATAGATTTTTACATTTTCATTAGAATTTAATGTTATTAGTTCGATGATTTAGTAATTATGTACATAATTAAAGTCTACTAAATCATCAAACTAATAACATTAAATTCTAATGAAAATGTAAAAATCTATAAATTAAAAAGTATACTTTAAAATTCTGATAATCATTATAAATTTAAGTCCTATTATCACCCCCTAAAATCATATCCTACAATTTTTGGATATTCGGATCAGTGTGAACCCTACTCCACCGTTTATGAGAATCATTTGGCCAAATAACTCTACATAATCGTTTGTTATTTAAAAAATTTTAATTTTAATAATTTTTTAGATCTATTAAAGTTGGTGTTATTGGGAGTTGTATTATTCAACATTTAACTCATAACATAAGATTGTGATAATATTACATATATACTTTAGATTGCTAGAATCATTATATCAATTTATTTCCACAGAATTTCATAATATATAAAACTCTCTATAATTATTTCCAACTTTAATAAATCTATCAATTTTTAAAATCAACAAACTCTATACAAATCTAGATTCTTAGAATCATTATAAAATTTGTATCCAGACTTGTGGTTTATGGATATCCAAACTTCGCTGTCTATATATTGTAATATTTGCGATTATTCAAATCCGTAAAAATAATAAATAATATTTTTAAAAGACTAGACTAATACAATATTAAATATTTATACAATAATTATAAATTTATATACAAAATTATGAAAATGAAAATATAATATAGTAAAACTGAGTTTATTTCTAATATTAATATTAATAAAATTCAAAATTAACATATTTAAAAAATCCAGAGATGGATCAAGATATCCAGGTTTCAAAATCAAAATATTTAAATCGAATCTAGTTTTGACAAATTCAAAATTTTAGTATCGGAATCCAAATTCAATATTTGGAATGGATCCATAATGGATTTTGGTTCCAGGATAATAATTCTGATATACCATGATTTTGACCCGTTTTTGGTCATGGTATTGATATGTTTTATGATAATTATCTATGTTTTGGAGTCTATTAGGTATGTTTTCAGGTTCAGGAGCATTTTGTAATAAAGTGATGATTTAGGTGCCTTATGGAGCTTAAAGGAGAGTTTTCCAAGATGACTATGACGATCCGACAATGAGAGACACATATCGATCGATACACACCTTGTGTAATCGATCGATGACGATTCCGTAGAAGTTGAAGTCGAGATACTCCATCGATCGATGTACACCATGTACCATCGATCGATACAGAGCGTGATGAGCAAGATTTACTTGGCCGACTTGAAGCCCAAGTTCTCACCAAATTACAAGATTGCCCCTGANGATCCGACAATGAGAGACACATATCGATCGATACACACCTTGTGTAATCGATCGATGACGATTCCGTAGAAGTTGAAGTCGAGATACTCCATCGATCGATGTACACCATGTACCATCGATCGATACAGAGCGTGATGAGCAAGATTTACTTGGCCGACTTGAAGCCCAAGTTCTCACCAAATTACAAGATTGCCCCTGATGAGTTTTTAACCTAATTATACTCATATTTATAGTTATGCCTATGAGTCCTAGAAAGCAATCTGGATATATCCAGAAAGTATTGAGTTTTTATCTAAGTTTTTGTATTCTATTCTATACTTAGCAATAAAGTATTTTCTTTTCATCTTATTCTTTTGCTATCAATCTCTTGTCTATGTCTGAGTAGATTCATTTGTTAGATTTGGGGTTCAAATAGTTATGAGGGATTAGCCTCAACTATGGAGTGTTGAGTTGTTATATTCATTATCCAAATGAACCTTAATGCTTACTCTAGATTTGCTACCTAGAGGTATGATTATGGAGTGACTAATCTAATAGTCATTATCCTGAAATCATTTGGCTAAGCTCAAACTCTATTAGGCACGTGCGATAGGCGGTCTAGTAGAAATTCTCGGGTGAACACAGTTTCAATTCGATCCGATG